CCCACCCTCTCTCAAACACCCATTTATGAGCTTGATGACTACATGAAGACATTTTAAGTGAAATTCAGTGTGGACTAGTTGCTTAAACATTTACCAGTTTCTTAGGGTGGGCCGTGGCATATGCTAAGTTCCACATTGTTGCTTCTACACTACAGTAGTATTTATGCACATTATCCTAAATAAGGAAACTTTTCTAGAATGGTTGCCTTAAGTCTACAGTGCAGACATAGTTCCTTTTCAGGAAATTACCAGTAGGTCTTGAGCAATCCTTGCAATGCTCAGAGGCAAATGAAGATGCTTGAAGACATTTCCTCCCTGTAGCAGGCAAAAGTTAGCTGAGGAAAATCCTGTGCTGCTGGCCCTAGGCTGCCTAACCAAGTGTGCAAGATTGTTGTCTATGAGTACGCTGCTAACTTCATAGTTGTGTGATGATCTAAAAACTGACTCCTTTTTTGTTCTCTTTGTCATCCTGTCATCCTACTATAGATCTATATATATACCCACCCATGCATAGCCACACAGTTATATATGCAAACACACTGTAATGGGGAACATGGGTGGCTGTTCTCATAGTTCTATTTGGAAAGCTAAAACTAGGCTTTTGATGTTAAAAATGGTATGCAGTGCCCAGAGCAGTGGTTCAGCTTTGCCTCCTCTCCCTGTTTGCTGGGTAACCATAGCTACTGCACTTGCCTTAGCAAGAACAGATTTGTGGGAGATTCCTTCTTGCAGAATTACTGATGTAATTACAAATACCAGCAGAAAGCTTCTGCAATGGAAGTCCAGTCTCTTCTACTGCTTCAGCCTGTTTCCTGGCATACCTGCTCAAGCCATGAGCAAAACCCGCCCCTGGTTTGCTCAATTGCAAACCTGTCACCCCTTTAACTGATTTTGGTTGACAGGAGCAGCTGACACCACCCTGCTCTAAAGAAAATAGCTAGTAGTTCTGCTTCTGCTGAGTATGTTGATGTTTAGCCATAAATCCTAATAGATTGATTATCCTGGATTGTTTTCACCAGCTACTGGAGACGCAAGCGTTAAAAAAGTACAAGCCCCTTCATAAAAAGCATGGAAAGATTTCAGGTCTCCTGCAGAGAAGGCAAGCCAGGGGGGAGAATAAATCATCACAGGCACTGTGGTACTGATGATTTGTATTCTTGTAGCACCTATTCCTTAGTCCTCAACTGACACAAAATAAAAGGTATTCCCCTGCCCCAAATGATGGATAATCTTGGCACAACAGAAGGAAAATAGCAGATGGGTATAGATGCATCAGGGAATACAGTCAGCCTGGTCAGGATAATGCCAGCCTTAGCTTAGCAACTGTCTAACTTTAGTTGAATTATTGAGGCTTTATGACTTTGGAACATTTCAATACAAAGACGCAATGCAAACACTGTCATTATGCTGTCATAAAAAAAAAAAATTTAAAAAATACTGTTTTGTAACATTTCTGATGTGTAAGGAAAGGTTAGATTTCCTTTATTCTTTTAGTGATACTTATTTGCAGTGTGGTTCCCGTGTGAATGTTGCCAGACACCTGAGCTCAGGCAACTGAATCATAGCCCTTTTCCCTGCTAACACTGGAGACATCTGATCAGAGCCTGAAAACATGGTGTACAATTTGGGTGACCTCAAGTGTTGGTGTAAGACTAGCAGCTGAAAAAATGGCTTAGTGTTGGAGGGATGCTCAGCCTAGGTACATGTGAAGCTAACATCACACTGGGGACAAAGAACTTGATATGGGAGTGGAGGAAAGCTAATTTTCACTAGCTGGGCTGAGTAGGCAGAGATCCTACACAGCACATTCTCAATTAAATTCTTTAGGTTACCATTTACCCGAACAGCTTGTCAGTGCAGTGTTCTTGTTTTGAATGCCTTGTCAGGTATGTCACATCAAACTGAATGCTGTCTTTGCACCCAGTGACTCAGCTTTGCAGGGAATAGGTACAGTGGGAGCTACCCCTCAGGGGGCAGTGCTGTAGGCATCTCTGTGTCCTGTGCTGCTGTCAGCCTGGGTGCAAACCTCCTGCCTCAGCAGCAGGCAAACCCACCTGCATCTGGAGAAGTAGGGGTCAGCATTACTGCCAGACTCTGTGCCCTCAAGGCAGGCTCTGGTACTGATGTGCAATTCATGTGCTGCAGGGGAATAGCCTTGGACAGGATGGGTGATGGTATTTCACAGACCTCTGCCTGATAGGAACCCAAGGTAAACCCTGTGGCTAGGAAACCAAGTGATCCATACCTGAGTCCTGCACCATCTGCTTGCAGCCCACCTAAGTGAAGGCACATTGTTTTCTCAGCATTACCCATCTCATCCACCCTCCCATGCTCTTTATGTTCAATTTTCACATCAGTTGGTTGCATTTCATCTTAGTTTTGAGCAGTTTTGCAAGTGAACAGTACTGCCATATGCTATGTGACTTGCAGCAGTACCTATATGAACTGAGATCCCAAATGTATCACTCAAAGTAAGGGAAGTAGCTTGCCATGGCTTTGTACAGGGACATGGAACAATAAGTCCTTGATTGGAACCTCTGGATGTTAGTTTAGTGCAAGCAATGAGTGGTTCATTTACAAGGAGAGGGGGAGTGATGCTGCTCTTATGAAAAGTAGACATAAAGAAGGATGTAACTTTTATTCACAGCTGAACCTGTATGATTTTTCTAAATTGTTATATCCGTTTATTTTCTTTTTTTATCTGTCACCACTCTTTGGCAAAGTAAACGCTTTCAGTAAAAAAAATCCTTGGTTATTTTAATGAATACTGCCTTTGCAAATGAATAGGAAGAGTTAGAGAATGAAGAAGCAGTATTGCTCCAGTGTGTGAAGATGTATTATATGCAGAGATACCCATGGAGGACCAGAACTGTCTCTCTTACCATGCAGAGAAAATACAAGAGTATTAATGTCTGATTATATGTGAGAAAATTCTGAATACTTTGGAACAAAAAACACAAAGATTGATTTTGAATTTTAGGTTTTAAAGAATATTTGTTATTAAGAGATATATTGCGTTGTGTCCCTTTAGTCTTGTACAGAGTATGCAAAAATTAAATTTTTGTGGTTCCATGTAGAATGTTACATTTAGCATTTCTGGTGTTTTTATGCTATGTCACAAAAGCAGTGCAACAAAGTTTCAGTTTTATATTTATAAAGTTGGAGTCCTACAGTTTTTTCCTTGATATGCCTGCTTTACAGAGCAAACCATTAATGAGGTAGCCTTGTTCCAATATACTTCGGAAAGGTTGTATTGTTCAGGTTTTTGGTTTTTCGAGTTTTTTTGTTTGGTTGAGTTTATTTTGGAGGGGGGGGGTTGGTTGGTTGTTTTGGGAGTTTTTTGTGTTTGCATGTTTTGTTGTGGTTTTGGCTTTTTTAAAGTAAAAGATATTTTGATCCTTTAGAAGCAGCTTTGCTAGAATTTAACTCAGAGTAGCCCACTCAGGAAAACTCAATTTTAACATGTACTTGGATTAAACTATGAAGGATTGAAAGAGTTTAATTACCTTTTTAAAAAACCCCACACCAGTGTAACTATGGAAACATGCCAAATCAATTTTTAAAAATCAGAATTATTAGAATCATTTTAGTTGGAAAAGGCCTCTAAGATTATAGAATCCAACCATTAACCCAGCACTGCCAAATCCACCACTAAACCATGCCCCTCAATGCCACATCTGTACATCTTTTAAACACCTCCTGGGACAGTGACTCAGCCACTTCCTTGGCCAGCCTGTTTTGATGCCTGAAAGAACAAAGTATGCTAAATATGAATTTTTTTCCTCCCGAGAACAAAAGTGTCTGTTTGTTAACATGAAGAATAAAGGGTTTTGTAACTTCCCCAGAAGCATTCAAATAGATTGCATGAGAAAGACCTTAAAGGTGGTGAAGCAATGAAGGCACTCATAGATGTCATGTAAAGCAATTCTTGTAATGATCACTTGGAGCAGTAGCTGGGATGAAGTTCATTCTGAGCACTTCACGTGGCACCGTGTTTTGGATTTGTGGCCAAGGCTGTGTTGGTGACACTTCAGTGGGTCATTGATCAGCAGTGCTTGCCCAGCCTGAAGGTTTGCTTTTTCCCACTCTGTCCACCAGTGAGGAGGTGGGGGACACAGCTAGGACAGCTGACAAAAATTGGCCAGAGGGGTGTTCCACACCATATAGTGTCTTGCTTAGTAATAAAAAGTGGGGTAGAGGAGGAAGAAAGGATGGGGTGGCTTCCTAAGTGGCCACTGTTCAGAGACTGGCTGGGCGTCAGTCTACCTACAGGCAGGTTGTGACAGACTAACTTTCTCTGGTTGATGTAGGGTTTTTTGTTTTTTTCATTACCTTTTAAACAATCTTTATCTCAGCCCATGAGTTATCTCAGTTTTGTTCTTCCTGTTTTCTCCTTCTGCCCTTCTGCAGTGGCAGAGTGAGCAAGCAGCTATGTGGGTGCTTGGCTGCTGGCCAGGGTCAGCCTACCACAGTCTTTTTTGGCACCTGATGTAGAGCTTGAGGGGTTTAAGATGACAGATTTGATCAGAGTGTGCTAGACTGAGCTTACAGTTGTTACAGATACTTAACTGTTACTTGGCAGGCTAGTACTTGCTCTTCCTAGCTCTGATGCCATATATGCTCCTTTACCTGCTCCATTACTTTCTACCTTTCTTGCTGTACATTGAATTCCAGGGCAAGTCAATGGATCCTTTTTGCTTTTGCCACTTTCAGTCTTGTTTGTCACTTTGTTTTGCCTTGCCTGGGAAACCTACAATAAAAGCACTGTCCTGAGGCCAAGCCTGGTATTTGCCCTTGCATCACTGCTTTCCAGTCTCTGGAGAACCCTGTTATGAACCAGCAGCAGTTCTTGCTCTTCTCAGCTGTTTTTGGGGAGAATGAAGCACGTCTCCCTTGTACCTGTAGGTATTTCCAGTCCTATTGCAATGACCACTCAGTTCTTCGAACATCCCTACTCAGCTAGATGCGGGCTGTGAATCTGATTTTGTTTTCTCGTACAGACAGCCGGATGATGGAGGATGTGACACAGGTCTGCCCTGAGGCTGTTGATCCCTGGGTGGCCACAGCAGGTACACCTTGAAGCATCAGTTGCAGTGCAAGAGGTCAAGCTGGAACACCTGAAAGCATGTGACCATGGATAAGCCCACAACAGAGCAGCTACACCCCTAGAGGGACTGCAGCCCTCATAGCCCACGGGTAAGGCTGTGTTGGACAAGGTTTCTTCTGGAGATCTGTGACCATGGCTAAGTCTATGCCACAGTAGGTATAAACCTGAAGAGACTGTATCTTATCTATAAGGCTCCATTTGGAGCAGGTACAACCTGCAGTCTGTGGACAAGGCAGCTGGGTTGGTAGTGCTAGAAACTGTCCTGGTGCTTTTTTTTTGCTGTTTGCCCTGTTCTTTTGCAGGCATTAAAAGTTAACTGGTGGGTAATAAAATCATGGTTCATTTGCTACAGTTTATGCTTGGATGAAGCCCTGATGTTTACTGCTGTAAACAAAAGCCCAATTTGTGTTTTGAATTTACTTATCTTATCTGATAGATAGAGGTAATCAACAGGTATTTTACATCCTCAGTTAATTCACTACCTTATGGCTTGTGCCATACTTTTTTTCTGCCTTTGTTTAATGGATGTTTCCATTGTTAAAATACTGCATTTTGGAAAACCAGTCCAACATCCATTTGGTGGTTATTTGTTTCATTCACTTTTAAGTACACTAATTCAGCTATCTGATCTTTCTAAATTCCTCCAGTGGTTAATGGGGCAATGGACACTTCCAAGATCCTCTTCACTTTGGGATACATTAGCAAGTACTGCAAGCCAGTGGCAGACCTGAGGAACAACATAGTGCTGAGAATCTGACACCAACACTACTAAATTTAGTGATTTTTTTTTCTTTCTTCAGAATAGTCCTAATCTGGTTGCATGGACTGAATGCCCATTGCATTTGGAGTGTATTGGGTATACTCCTGATCTCCATCTTCCAGTTTATTTGATCTTAACCAAATAAAGGTTATGTTCCCTGAGACTGTGTGAATGAGTAATATGAACCAAAGCCCAGAAAAGAGAAGAATTGGGAGCTTATTTTTAAAAGCTCTGCTATCTTCTGATCCAGGCTAAAGCACTAATATAGGTACAGCCTCAAAGCACTGATGTCAGATTACAGTTCTGAATTTCTTGCTGTAGCAGTCTCCCTCTTTCTTCATTCCCCATAGAGCAAACCTGTGGAGACTCATCAGCTACTTCATTGCAGAAAAGTTGGGTGCTGAGAGTTATGCTGTGACTTCCATGTGACACCACTGCAGTGTGGACCTTCCCTGCTGGCACCAAGCTTTTTAGGAGTCTTTTAAAGTATCCAATTTGTCAGTCGTTCATCAGACGGCCAAGCTGAATAAGCTTATGTAAATTAAAATGTTTCTAGGTGCTGAAGATGAATCACTTCTTGGGTGACTAGATACCTTCAGTGTTTCTATCTGTATGCATGTAAGTCAGTTGTGCTTGCTTTATATAGTAGACAAAGAAAGAGGTACTTCATCAGAGCCAGTTTAAATGGCTACTTAAGGATTAAATGCTTTGTTACCTAAAAGTTTCATTTTTTCCCCTGAGCAACCATGTAGACATACCCAAAGCTGCATGAGAAACCCGCTTCTCTTTTCCATATTTGAGGCAGACTTCAAAGATATACTTGAGGGTTAGTTGGTGTTTGGCTCTTTTTGTTGTTTTTGGTGGTTTTCATTGTGTTGTTTTGGGATTTTTTTGTCAGCTTGAATCACTTTTCTCATTTTCGGTGATTTTCATACCCCCTCAGCTAATGATGCCTACTTTCACATGTTTTATTCACTTTCTGTTTGGGTTGTGCCTCACCCAAAATGTCTCACAAATATATCAACCGTCACTAGTTCTCACCCCATGGTCAGATCTCCAATCCCATTTCATCTCAGGACTGCATACAGAAATACTGATGCTGGAACAAAGTTTAATTTATCTCTTGGAGGATGGTTGACAGCATTGACAGCCTGTGGCGTATTACCATACTGAATTATCAAGCCCCTTAAAGGAATAATGAATGCTGCTTCCACTGACTTTCTGCCAAAAACATCCCTTTGTAATGTAAATGAAAGAACACAGCAAAGCAGTTAGATACACGTCCCACCACTGTGTCTGCTCAAACACACGGCGCTGAAAAGGGCTGTTCCTATTCTATCTTTTTAGCCCTAACATGATGTTTACGTTACCATAGGTGCTTTATTTTTTCACTCTGACACACCCTCAGACTTGTCAAGTATTTCCCTGCTCAAGGACAGGTATGAGTGGTGTTAGAGGGTGACAAATTTCACAGAAATATAATACAGAAATGAATCATTGTTTTCATCTGAAGCAGAACCGGGAGATGATCATTGCATTCTAGAAACAGCAAGCACCTGCATGAGAGTGAATTGCTTGTGTCAGAGTTTGAACCAAAAAATGTATCCACAGCACTCAATATTGTTACTCATTCAAAGCTGGCAATCTTTATTTTTTTATCTTGTTTCCTTTGAAGAATTCATTTAATGAATGCAAATGTGCATCATGCAATTTTTTCTCCTGTATTCCATACAATGTTAACAGTACCTCCTGTTCTTAACTTGTAGCCTCCTGCCCCAAGGAAATACCACCACAAACATCACAAGCCAGCAAATGCCATTGCTTTAATGGTGTTAAGAAAAAACCATGGGGCTTTTTCCTTTTCAACATCAATATCAAGAAGAAAACTCACCCCTTTTCTTGTTAGCTATACATTTCTTGTACTGTGGGGATTTTTTTTTTTTATTATGACAATAGTGACACAAGTATGTATTGTTTAGTTGTTCTTAGCCTCTTGGTAAGGATCCTCCTGTCCCCTGACCAAGCTGCATTTACCCTGCAAGGAAACTGTTCCTTGCTTCCAGACCCTAGCCTGGATCAGTCTTTTTCTTTTTTTGTCTGTCCTCAGTTCTGCCTGCTGAGTTTGAATTTGGCTGTGCTCTTTTGTCCATGTCCTGGTTTGTGTTTTGCTTTGTAATGTGTTTGACAAAGTATCTTAACAGCTTTATCCACTGTTCTGATTTCATTTGTAATTATGGTGACAATATGGACTTTTTTAGTTTTGCTTTTAGTATTTTTTAACAATGCTGTTGATCAACATGTAATTTGTACTCCTTTATTCCTCCCCAAATCTTGGAATTCCCAGCTCACCTAGGTGGGTTTTTCTTCTTTTGAAAAATTGACTCCTCACAAACATAGCTGCAAGCAACCCCCTAATTATGATGTAAGGAAGCTTAGAGTTCATACAGAGCAGTAAATCAAAAAGTAAAAAGCATTCACAGTATTTTAGCACATTACTAGCAATATTTTGCTGACCCACTTTACCCCATGCAAAATGACATTGATGTGCTCATTTACTCATCTCTTCATCCAGGACAGAAGTGAGCTGGTTTGGATGGCTCATTCAGCCTGGTCAAACAACAGTGTGAAAGCATGGCAATGTGTTTCCTGAGCCCATCAAAGGCTGCTTGTATTCCAGCTGCCAGGCAGCTTCACGCTGTAATAGGGCATGTTACAAAATGAAACGGGCTAATTCTGCAACAGCGCATGTGCTCACTGTACTCTGATAATTTTGTTCACTGCATCAGATTTCTAAAGTGGACATTTGTTATGTTATTTGTTAATACATAACTCAGATTTGTCATATCAGGAAAAGATCATCCCTATCCTTTCTTAGCTCTCCTGTGTCACTAGAAGCAGAATTTCATCTCTTTAAACCTACCATCTTGCATGCTCTGTTGGGATGGCAAATACACTTAATGTACTGATGGCACCGCAGAGATAAACAGGGAAAGGTTTTTTCAGCCTTTACTAAACATTTTCTTCAGAATAGAACGCAATAGCATTATGATGAGACTGTCCTGTGGTGATCTAAGGAAATCTGTGATAGGGAATATCAAAGGGGCAACAAGATAGGTAGTGGGGGAGAAAAAATCACTCCTTTCATTCCAGAATATGTGTGCACCAACTGCTGACAGGTTTTCCTATGAGGATTGCATTGTGTAAAGTACAACATGTTTCTGTCCCATCTCAAATCACAGGCTGTGGGCTATGTCTTGCTTCTCATCACTCCAAAGCAGTTGAATGCCCCAACTCTTCCATCATCTCCCTCCAGCCTGGCCACCTTGAAGTCACACAGATTGGCAGGCATGGGGAAGGGCTGCCATCAAAGACTAACAGGTAGGGTTGATGTGGCAGCAGTCAGTGCCTGCAGTTGTCCCACTTGTGTAATTTGGTCTTGTGTCAGTCTCTGTCTGGAACTAATTGCTGAGGAGTTTGTCAAAGATCAGTGACTTTAGGCACTTTCAAATTATCCTTGATGAAGTATATGAAATCCACAATCCTCTGCCAAGAATCAGACTTTAGAACTGCACAAATGCATATCATTTAGTCTGGACTTTTTTTCACTGGTAGAGATCCTATGACTCCCATGAATCACATCAATCTTGACGTCAATTAGATCTTTGAAATAGCTATGCTGCACTGTCACAATGACATAAATTCACACAATCATATAAAAACTCAGCTAAGAAAGAATGAGCAGAGTCTGTGGTCTTCAAATAGTGGCTTATTGGCAATATCTTTTCCTGGGACAGCAGGAGGTCCTAGTCTAGTCAAACTGAAGTGTTACTGCTTGTGCATGCTCCACTTTCAGCTGACATAAGTGGGTCAAACTTGTGATGGCTCTGTGTTGGTACTGATTCTGGTTGCACTCCCAGGGAATGCTCTGACTTTATGTCACCTTAAAGTGAGGCCCTTTAACCCAAGCAGAGCAGAATGGGATTCATTATTTGCTCTTCATTATGGATAGAAAAAGGGCTCTACACAACTTCTGCTGTGTTTAGGTGAGGAAATAAAGCACAGCAAATGACATACCAGGGTAGCTCTGATCTCCTTATAGCCTTTCACACTTCTCTGTTCATCAGAGAGCCAAAGGCTGGCTATGCATTCAGAGACCAAGGAGAAGGCAGTTTTCTTGTTCGTCTCCTTATCATTTTGATCTTATGCATAAGAAATTCAATAGGATGTGACAGGAAGGTTAAAGCTCTGTCTCTTCCTAAAGAGATTTGTTCTCTTGAGTTCTGCATACCTAGCAACAGACACTCTGAAACGAGAGTCCTCTCAGTCTCTCACTGGAAGTGTACTACATGATATGACCTGATTATAGATATTCTTCATGCCAGGGAAAGGGATGCTCACCACCAGCTCAGATGGATGCTCTCTCTGTTCCTATGGGAGCCAGATACTCAAAAGTCAGTATTTTCAGAAAACTTCAAGAGTGTGGGACAGGGTCATGTCATGTAATTTTTACAGCTTGAAAGTCTGATGTCTAAACCTGAGTTTGACTGGATCTTGGTTTCCTTTATAATCAGTAGATATGAACAATATTGTGATTTCGCTGACATATTTTAAATGCCTGTTTTACGACGATGCGGATTATCCTCTGGAGATTCCTATTTTTCTCTGCTGGCGTACGCAAGTATTGTGTGACTAGCTCAGGCTTGAGCATCTACAGGTTAGATGCCTCAGGACATAGATTCCCCAAATGAGAAACCTTCTCATTAGGTTTCAAAAAGATGTCAGTCTCAGTCTCTGTTTAATGATCCAGAGGAAAAATTCACACAGCTTTGGGAGGGTTGTGCCTACTCTGAGTACACTAAGTCATATCCTACGTCAGGTAAAGGTGCCTTATTCAGCAATTCTAGAAGTTCAAGACGGGAGATACTGTGTGCCATCAGGTCAGAAATGTCCATTTGCATATCACTTGTCAGAGGCAGTCTGTAGCAACCTTCCCAACAGAAATATGGATTCTCAGGAACATTAGGGGCAGGATCAAGTTTGTAAAGAAACACCTAAATTTAGTTGTTTACACAGAAGATGTATGCCAAAAGATAACAAGGGGTGCAGTAGTCAATTAGATAAATGGAGCTCTGGTCAATACAGACCATCAGCTTTCAAAGTGATTCAGCCAACCAACCAGACATGTACAGATGTAGCTGGCCTATGTGTATATATGATAAGCATACACATAATAGGTGCATAATTTCCTTGGAGATGACCTAGAGAAGCCAAAATATCTTCATGGGGCTGGCAGCTACACCATGGAACCTCCTGAGCCCATGGAGCATCCTTCTGCAGCAGAAGATGGATACAGTAAGGGATCTCCAAAGGCACTTGGATGCCTGCATTTGGGCTTCTGCATCACACTCTCAGTTTGCCTTTCAGGGAGAAGAATTTCTTACTGAGTT